GAAGCTAACCTGAAGCTAACCGAGGCTAGCTGCGCGGTCCCGACTGTCTCAGCTGCTTTATGTGATTAAACAACAGAAGCACAGCTCTGGTGGTGTGTTGGACCCGTCCTCGGGCCGGTACCGACCGCTGAGAGGACACTTTTGGACCCGGTCCGCTCGGTACACTTTCATACAGCCGCTAACAACAGCAGCCTGCTAACAGCTAGCTCCGGCGGCGCGACATCACACAGAGCCCGCCCCCTTTCTGCGGCACCAGACAGCTGATTGGCCACAGCGTTCGCGAAAGGAGGACGCTGATTGGACGGACTGTAGAACGTTGGTTCCCGCCAGGCTTCTGCGTGGATTTGATTGGCTGTTAAAGCGTCCTTGCGGAAATAGACATACGCGTGGTTGCTAGTGTTTTATTGTTATTATTATTATTATTAATTTAAACGTCAAAGAAAAGAGTTAATATGAGTTTCTCGTCAGAAATAAAGAGTCTGAATAATATCTGGTGATGTAATGATGATGTAATGATGGAGCACAGTGGAGCCGAAGCGCCAAACATTGATTATAAAGTTTTCACGTTTGAAGAAAGAAAGAAAAACCCCGAAGAGTGTCTGTGTGTCTCCATACCTGAGGTCTGTTTGAGTCTGATTATATCATTATACTGCAGGTACAGCAGTTATTGATCTTCCCCTGTATCGATCTGACATCAATCAGCCGTTGTCTTGGTAACGCGTTGTGCTGTAACAGAATCGCCTGAAAAAAGACGTGAATTTAAGTTAATTCTGTGTATATAAATGGTTTGCAGCCGTTAGAAGGACGTACCGAGGCTCTATATGATACAATAGAGTCCTGTCTTTAATTCGGCATACATCCAGTACACAAATAAATCAGATTTGGACCAATTCAACTGGATTCCCTCTACTTGTCCTTGTTGAGGCTGATGAGCCTGCAGGATGGATGATGTAGAGTCTGATCTTTAGAGAGCACTATCTATTAGTAAACTGTGTAATATTGTGAATATCTCGTACATTTGTGATACAATACGCATGACATCTTTAAAATGTTTAATATCCTAGTTAAGATCAGTTGTCATTGGTTGTGTTGTAGTTAACCTGCAGTTTAACCCTCGTTCTCAGGTTCTGGATCCACAGTATGGGATGTATGTGTGGCCCTGTGCGGTGGTGCTGGCCCAGTATCTGTGGACACAAAGAGAGGAGCTCAGAGACAAGACGGTGCTGGAGGTGAGAGGAGCCACATTTCCTTTCATTTCTCAGCTTGCAGAGAGTTGGTGGACAACCTGAGGTCTGTGTCCACAGCTCGGGGCAGGTGTGAGTCTGCCAGGTGTGGTGGCTGCGAGGTGCGGGGCTAAGGTGATCCTGTCGGACAGCGCTAAGACCCCGCTGTGTCTGGAGAACTGCCGGCGCAGCTGTGAAGCTAACGGCCTGCAGGATGTGGTCGTGTTGGGTCTCACCTGGGGGGAGATCTCCCCAGATCTCGTCCTGCTTCCAGAGCTGGACATCATCCTGGGATCAGACGTTTTCTACGAGCCACAAGGTTGGTTCCCAACCTGAGGCTCAAGACCCCCACTAGGGGTCGGCAAAGCTTCATGGGGGGTTGCGAGGCCTTCTTGATTTAAAGGCGCGTAAAAAAACTTCAATAAATATACACAGTAGGCTGATAGGTCAGCTTTGGTTCACTTCTTCATCACTCCTGTGAAGAAAAGTAAATGTAAACTGTCTAATAGAACAAAGTGTCAGGAACAAGAACACACTGATTGTGTCAGTAAAGAAGCATTTTCTCTAAGTCTCTATGATTGTTCAGAAATATAAAAAATACAGAATACAGACAGAATTGTATAAAAAGTTCCCTAAACAGGAAATAATCTGCTCAAATCTCTGGTTTTACACAAACTTCCTGCATTAGTGAGTTCACTGTTTGTAGTTTTAATATGAAATGAGATATCCATCAAATATGAACCAGCTGCTCTATAAGTATAAGATGTTCTACAGGCCGACTTTATAGGTTAATACCTTTCTTTATGCACTGTAATAGTAATAAGTGTCCACATACTTTTGTCCATACAGTGAATATAAAACTGAAACCTGTTTCAGATTTTGAAGACGTCCTCGTGACGGTTGCTTTTCTTCTAAGAAAAAACCCCGGATCTCAGTTCTGGACCACGTACCAGGAGAGGAGGTTCAGTATAACAACAGTACATCTTTATCTGTACGTGGAGCTGTGTTCTGACCCTCCTCTTCCTCCCCTTCCTCCTCTTCCTCCTCTCTGTGTTTCAGTGCTGACTGGTCCATTGAAGCTTTGCTGCACAGGTGGAAGCTGAGCTGCGTCGACGTTGAGCTGCAGACGTTCGGTGCAGATAAAGCTGAGCTGGCCGGATCGACGCTCCCCGGCAGCCACAGCGTCCTCATGCTGGTTATCACCCTGAACACGGGGGGTTAACTCAGCTATGGTTACAGGATTAAAGTGATGTGTCTGTATAGTCACATTCACATCTGTGTGTGTTGATGGTGATTAAAGGATCCATTTGTGTTTATAGTTGCAGGGTCTCTTTATTAGGGGTCCCTGACACGAGTAAGGTTGGGAACCAAACTGAGTAAACCGACGACTCCTCCTTAAGTGACATATTTTATATTAAAAACTGTACAATGAACCCAAACAGCGAACTCAGTAACTGCAGGAAGTTTGTGTAAAATAAGTGATTTGGATGAATTTGGATGAACTTTTTATACAATTCTGTGTTTTTTATATTTTTAAACAATAAAACAAACTTTGTAAAATCCTTTTTTGACAAATTCAGTGTTTTTTTTCTCCCTGACAATTGACCATTGTTTTATTAAACAATTTACATTCACTTTTCTTTAAGTTTTCTTTACGGCTTTAAATCAAGAAGACCTCGGCCCCCCCTACGAAGCCTTACCGACCCCCAGCGGGAGGTTGGGAACCACTCTGCAGTCTTTGCACCCGTTCAGTGACGCATCCATAACATATTTGAGTCGTATTCACTCTTTAATGAGTTCAGTCTGAGCTGTTAATGTTTGTTATGTAACTCCAGACTGTTCGTGTGACCTCATTTAAAGCCGCAGCAACATTCAGACTTCCTGTGTGTAAACTGGAAGGTTTGACTCTCTGTGGTTAAAACATGACGGAGCAAATAGTTCAAACTGATCCACTCTGTCCACGGTGCAGTGAGTTCAGTCTCTGGATGTCTGACAGTCGCTGCCCCCTGCTGGTGGATCCAAACTTTATCTCAGTACAGAAGGTTTAACATCCAGCCCGACTGAACCCAGGATTCACTGATCAATACTGAGCTTCAATCACTGTAAACAAACATTATAACAGAGGAAGAACGACTCCAAAGTCAAGTCATTTAAAAAGAAAAAGCTTTAATAGTCAAAATACTTCTTTTTAAAATCCATTGAAAACATTTCAACACATCCAAATCACCCAACTGCCACCACCACAATCACAGGTGCACCTTCTGGGTCTGAACAGGGTCTGAACAGGGTCTGAACAGGGACCCGGGTACACCCCACCACAGGTGAGTGCTTTACAAACACCTACAGGCGGAGGAGCCGCAGTCTGCTGCCCGTCGGCGAGACGATGAAGATCTCCCAACTGCAGCTGGAACGTCTGGATCTGTGGGCTCTCCTCTTCACGCCCAGGTTAAACCTCGCCCGTCGGAGCTCAGCACGCTCCCGCCGTCTGTACGTCTAGTTCTGTCGCCAAGGAGGCCGTGGTCGGTTTCCAGGATAAGCCGTCCGAGTCACCCTGGATTGGAAAAACAAGACTGTGGTTATGGTTCAGTTGTGGAAGAAGTTCTGGACCAAATCATTAGTGTGAAGAAAGCTTCCGTTTATAGACCATCATGTAGGAAAAATCTAATATTTTTAACTGAATTAAAATACTTAAAACCCTTCAGAGACTCTTTATTGTGTGTTTACTCGTTAATCTTGCAGCCCTGCCTCTAAAACCAAACTACAGACACCAACAGTTTAAAAGTTTCACTTTCAAAACATCATTTGGAAATCGGTCAATTTAAAAAGGTATTAAGTTGATTCATAAAAGCACAAAGTGCATTAAAATAAATCAGCAGCTTTACTGAGAACTGATCTAACTGTCCATTTTAAATTCAGCGGCTGGTTAACAAACAGTTAACACTTGTATCAGGACATGTTGGCAGCAGAAGTCCACTTGTGGCAGTCTGAGCTGTGGAGGATGGGCAGTAAAGGGAAAGTTCAGCTCGGGGAGTTTGTTTTTCATAACTAAGAACCAATTCTGAAAACCTACCTACCCATCGCTCCTGCAGTCTCAGGTTTCATACACCAAACCTCATTAAGAAAACTGCCTATTTAAGGTTTCTGCTAAGCTGTGGCAGTAAAAAGCTCATAGAATGATTCAGAGACTTTATGAGTCACAAAGAAAAGAGGAATTCTTACATTCGGCACAGGATTAAATCGACAGACATAAAACAAACTCTTATTTAAGCACAAAATCAGCTTTTCAATCACAACCTCTCACTGTGGTGCAGACATTCTGTAAAGGAAATATTAAACATTCCAAGGTTCCATATGCCAGATGTCATTCAGAAAAGTGCTTATTAAAGAATTGACTGACTCTGTTTAAGTACAGAGTTCATTAAATGATTCCTCAACTCAAGCACACACACATATAAGACTCACTCTTTCATTCGGCACAGGTTCAATTCAACATGAACAGAGACTAAACACGGATTTCAGTAGAAACCCAGGCTCACCTCTGTATTCATTCCTTGGCTTTCTTCTCGCGGTTCTGGAGCTTTTCCACAATTTTGCGCTCATGTCCGGACGGGTTGGGTCGGTTGGTGTTCTCACTGGCCTCCTTCTTTGTCCTGCCTTTACGGGCCGAACCTTCTGTTGGGACAAAAACACATTTTAACACAAGATTGGAGAGAAAACTGAAAACTAGTCAGTTCCTGAAAGGGTTGAAAAGAGAAGCTCACCTGCGTATTTATCGGTTAGATTATAATATTCATACTGGTCGTAGTACTCGTCTTCAAAGCTGGTGGGCTTCAGGTTCTTCACGTCGACGTGACTCATGTTTGTTTCTGGGAGTTTTGCTCCAAGAAAGAAAGTTTGTCAACCTTCAGAAACAACAACAACAACAACAACAGTAGTTGCTAAAATCAGCAGAAAACCAGATGGACCTCTGAACGCTTCTTTCTGAGGAGGAAAACAAGGTGTGTATCCAGAGGTTTCTGAGTGTTTTTATAACGGAGACATTGAGCTCCTCCTCCTCCTCCTCCTCCTCCTCCTCACAGACAGACAGACAGACAGGCAGACAGACAGACAGACAGACAGGCAGGCAGACAGGCAGACACTCCCTCTCTCTGCTGAAGAAATGTTGCATCAGTCATTAAAGCTGCAGAATAACAAGAGTTTAATGTTTAATGAGGAACCTTTTACTCCATTACATTATTCTTTAGTTACTCTAAGATTTGTACACGTGAAGAGTTCATTAAATATGTTTTCTTATAAAACCACCCAACAGTAGATAAAAGTATAATTGGAACCATTAATTGATCGACAGAAAATCAATCAGCAGCTGTTCTGACTAAAGCAGTGGTTCCCAACCTGGGGCTCGGGGGCTGACGTAAGGACACATTTAGTTTTACAAGAAGACACAATGATTGGATTCTGATAAGAGACACGAGCTGGTTTGGTGTGAATGTTTTGTCCTAAATATTAACTTGAGGATGTGACTTCGCGCGCTCTCAATGATTTCTTTTACCTGGACTTTTTAATCATCTATTGAACAACAGAGGCATCAGGGAACTAGAAAGAGTTATTAAGTCTGTTTGATTGTTAAAATGATCCAATATTACAGAGAATTAAAAAGTAAACAGGAAGTTGAACTGAACGTCCTACATTCGACTCTCCTCCAGACTCTGACCTTCTCTGCACCAGACACACATTATTTTATCAGCAGCTGCACTCTTCACACAACCCTGACCTGATCCAGTGTGTGTGTGTGTGTG